AAAAAAAAAAAAAAAAGAATTCACCCACACAGAAACGTATAACTTACAATAAATCTTAACCATTAACAAAGAATTTTGAACTTGAGCGGCAGTTCTCAAAGCAGTTTTTATTCAGTGAAACATCTGGTAGTTTAGAAGGCATTTTTCTGTTTATGACTTGTTTTGTAATTTGCACAACACTCAGGCATCACAAGATGCTCAATGATTTACAAAGCATGCCCCAGTCACAAAGTTTTATTTTTATTTTATTTTATTTTTTTTGCTATAGGGCGCATGCACTCACCGGAAAAAAAAGAGAGAGAAAGTGCGAAATCACCCCTCAAGGGGGTTGGCCACGCTGCAATCCCTTCTCCTCCATTCTCTTCTCAGGATCCTGGGCACACATGCACACGCACCCAGTGTAAGTTTAAGCCATGGGATCTGGGACTTGAACCACGGTCGGCTACATGGGAGTTCAGTGACATAGCCATTAAGCTAATTGCTGCTCCTGCTATTGGTATTCTTTAATGATTATGTCCTCCATCCTCACTGGCCTTAGAAAAAGTCCAGGTGGAGATTAACAAGGTGATTGGCCCACACCATTTTCCAGTCCTTGAAGACTGGGCAAAAATGCCTTATACAAATGCTATCATCCATGAGATTCAGAGATACAGTGACTACACCCACTGGACTCCCTCACTGTGTCATCAGGGACACCCACTTCCGAGGATATCATCTGCCTAAGGTGAGACTAGCAGGGTCACAGGATATTGGAAGGAAGCCACGGGCTGCTCATTATCTTGTGATGGTTCATGTCTCTTATTATTTCCAGATTTCTATGTGGGGAGGGATATTTTGGAAACAAAGGCAAGTCTTTTCCCTTCTGTTATTTTTTCACAAATTATTAGATGTTAAGTATTGTTTTGTTGAAAAAAGTCTGATATACTTCATTAAAACTGGTCACAGGATATTGGAAGGAAGCCACGGGCTGCTCATTATCTTGTGATGGTTCATGTCTCTTATTATTTCCAGATTTCTATGTGGGGAGGGATATTTTGGAAACAAAGGCAAGTCTTTTCCCTTCTGTTATTTTTTCACAAATTATTAGATGTTAAGTATTGTTTTGTTGAAAAAAGTCTGATATACTTCATTAAAACTTGAAATAAACAGAGCTCTTTGGTTCAAAACTCTTTCTTCATATCCTCTATCTTCTTTCTACATGAAAAGGTATTTGATGTTTCTGCTTCTTATTTAATCATATACCACATATATGCACAAAGGCCTATTCATACAGAAGCTATCATTTTGCAAATTGTGTGTGCATTGTGGTGTATCTCCTTCCATGCCTGTCTTTATGTTTAGATCAACACACTTTGCAAATTATTTTCCAATTTTGTGTGTCTACATGGCTTTCCTTTGAGAAGTTACCAGCTGCAGACATATATTCAGGTCAAAGTCTTGGGTTCTAACTCATCCTATCTCCAGTTGTTGCATATGTTCTTGAATATGGATGCACTGAAGGATGATGTCCACATTGTCTAATCACCCAGTGGGCATCAACTCATCATATTAAATGCTGGCCCTAGTTCTGGACCCTTGAATGCCTCTGCTGGGTCACAAGTGAATCCTTAATTGATACATCATAGAGAAGCTCAAATGGTCTTAGGGAAGAGGGGTTGATGTGATTATTGTGGACATCCAGAGGGCTTGGGACACAACTATTAATGAAACAAAGCAGCATTATTTTAGTATGTTAGTTATCATTTGTGGCATGAGGAAAGCCATTATCAACTGCAGGTATATCATAACTGATTTATCCACTCCTTGTTAATGGCCTCCAAGTCTTCTTGACTTTGGTGCCCTGTTAGGAGACTGCTATGTACCCCATCACGAGCTCTGTTCCCCATGACCCACGCCACTTTGAGAAGCTGGATACCTTCTTCCCTGGCCACTTCCTAGATGCAGAGGGCAACTTCAGGAAGCAAGAAACCTTTATCCCATTCTCCATGGGTCAGTTAGTGTTCTTCCCCATTCCATGAGAATGCCTACCCACCCCCATGTCTGTGGGACTTTATCATTTTCTCTATCTCAACACTGGATGAACATTTTTGAAAAAGATGATAATCTGTAAGAAAGAGAAAGCAAGATACCTGCAAAGACAAAGATAGGAAGAAAAAACCAGGACAAAAAGAGTAAGAATGACAAGGAAGATGGAAACTAAATCAGGGGAAAGAATTAGAAATTATGTTAGTCAGTCTTATCTATTCCTATTAAGGAGAACATTTTTCAGTTTTTTCTGTAAATCTTAATGCTAGCTATAGTTTTTCCAGTTATTTCATAGCTATCCCAGCACTTACTTTTCTCAATTTTAAATGAAATTAAGGAAAGACTCCTCCATTTATTTTACTTAATCTTATTCCTGAATGAGAGTGTGTATACATAAGGGGAGGAGGACCCTGGGCAGCGTGTTGGCAGACTGCAGTCTCCTTTCATCCCTCCAGCTCAGGATCTTGGGCTCGTGCGTGCCCAGTGTGTTTCCAGGTCAACTGAGAATCTGAACCTATGGTGGCCATGTGGTTTCCAGTATGACAGTTCAGTCCAGTACAATAAATGCTTCTCCACTCCAATTTTACAAGGTTCTTCTTTTTAAAATTTTCATACAGGACTTGGTATTGAGCTATTACATTTTTAGCTACTGTGAAAATGAGGGAATATTTTTTTCTCCCTGACTTGTTAAAAATATATAAATATCTTAGTGTTGAATCATACATTCCCTCTGAAATACTCTAATAAGAGAGGCTTGGAGAGGGCAAGGGGCTTGCCCCGTGCCCATTAAGAAGTTGTGGCCTAGCCCTTTTCCGGTTACAAGGCCGCGCGGTGAGGATCTCTTCTACGCATGTAGCCATGCTGTCTAAGGGCCCTCTGCAGTCTGTGCAGGTCTTCGGATGCAAGAAGACGTCCACAGCCATGGCGCACTGCAAACGGGGCAACGGCCTTATCAAGGTGAATGGACGGCAGCTGGAAATGATCGAGCCCCACACGCTGCAATATAAGCTACTGGAACCTGTTCTGCTTCTGGGCAAGGAGCGGTTTGCTGTTGTGGACATCCGTGTCCGTGTAAAGGGTGGTGGTCACGTGGCCCAGATTTATGCTATCCACCAGTCCATCTCCAAAGCCCTGGTGGCCTATTACCAGAAATATGTGGATGAGGCTTCCAAGAAGGAGATCAAAGACATCCTCATCCAGTATGACCAGACCCTGCTGGTAGCTGACCCCCGCCGCTGCGAATCCAAAAAGTTTGGAGGCCCTGGTGCCCATGCTCGCTACCAGAAATCCTATCGATAAGCCCATTGCAAGGACTGGAGTTCATCTTTATAATAAACAATGGCTGTGGGGTTTTAAGATTTAAAAAAAAAGAAGTTGTGGCCTATATTAGTCAGATCAGGCTAGGCTGTGAAAAAATGACCTGAACATTTCAGCAGCTGAACATTTCAAAGCCAGAAAGTTGATTTCACGTTCATGCAACATGGCCATCTCAGGTCATCAGGGGTCTGTACTCATCACGCTCATGTAGAGAATAGGTCTCTCCTGATAGATGTAGAAACAGGAGAATGGTATGACATACAAATTATCTTTTTTTTTTTTTCCAAAGCAAGTCTCACTCAAGTTCAACACGACATAGGAATTTAATGTACCCAGAGGTGTGCCATGAATGTTTTGTGAATGATGGTATAGCTTATCACACCTTGAGAGACAGCTCTCTGGGCTCCCTTCCTTTTCTTTGAAACTGCAGCTAACAGGATACAGCCCAAATTGTGGCTCAGATCAGGGGCAGCTTTCCTTCCCATCCTTAGTTATACTACATGGATACAACAAGCCTATGCTGAAGGCAACAGTAGATACTGAAGGCTTAAATTATATGAGACAGGACCAAGAGATAGCATAATGGTTATGTCACTGGACTCTCACATGGCTGACCATGGTTCAACTCTCAGACTCCATGGTTAGAATCTCATGCCAAGGTCATGTCCATGGATGCCCAAAATTCCAAGACAGGCTTGTGAAGCAGGGATTGAAGCATGACCATCCCTTGTGGAGGGCGATTTCTCACTTTCTGTCTCTCTGTGTGTCTAGTGAGTGCACATACCCTATAGCAAAAAAACTCTCTCTCTCAAAAAAAAAAAAAAGAGAGAGAGAGAAATGTTACATTTTTATTATGGTTAATTCTATCTTGTTGATTATGGAGGTTCTTCAGAAACCTACAAATAGAACTACCAAACGATTCAGTAAATTCCACTGCTAGGTATCTACCCAAAGGATAGCAATACACTCAGTTGGAAAAGTACTTGTATATCCATGTTTATTGCAGCATTTTTCACAATTGCTAAAACACAGAATCAATTGAAATGTCCCAAAACAGATGAATGGGTTGAAAACGTGTAGCAAATATACACTATGGAATATTCCTCAGTCATAAAAAACAATGAGACCCTGGCATTTGATTGAAAGTTGATGGATATGGAGTGAATGCTGTTAATGCTGGAGTGAAGAATGTCAGACCATGAAAGAGAAGCATTGTTTGTCCCCACTTAACATATACTTAGTGCCTGGATTCTGTGACAGAAACAGAAAGATTGGAAGGTATAAACCCATGGAAAGTAACTGTAGATAGTAGAGACAGTATGGGAGGAGTGGGAGAGAGGGAATTAAGAGGGAAAAGAAGAAGTGAAATATTTAGTGACCACAAAAATATAAAGTTGATGATGATAATGTAGATGGTAATATCTTACTTGACCAATACACAATGTATTCATGCTGGGAAAAATCCATTTTGTTTGCTGTAAAGATACACAGTGATTGAATGCAAGAAAATAAAAGAAAGAAGAGAAAAATACAAAAAGGAAAAAACCCCAAAAAACCCTGAAGTAAGCTATAAGGCAAACACTATAGGGTACAAATGTACTATAGTTGACTTGTTAATTATAGTTTAATTTATATATCCTGTGTGTTAATGTTTAAAATCATTCAATGGCTCACAAAGTACTTTGGTGCTTACAAGTATCCCTTCATTCAACACATTCTTTCTGAGTCCCTCCTATATTCCAGGTACCATTTTAGGCACTCAGAGGCAAAATGTTAGTATTCAAGACCATTTCTGAGGTATTTATGCATTTCAAAAATTATTCTATTTAGAACTGTTTTACAAAAAAAGAAATTGTGTTACCAGCAACAAACATACTATTTATAAATTATTTATTCAGTGTAAGAGACTTTGCCTTTTGTAACTCATTTGATCATTGTAAAGCACAAGGAAATTGGTTTATTTCTCCAAATTATGAAGTGTTCTGCAGTTAAGAGCACTTTATAATTACAAAACAATTCAATGTAGAAGACTTATGTTTAAAATCTTTAGCCTTTAAAATCTTCAGCATTTTAAAAAATCTGTAGTCTTTAGAAAACTTCTTTATGTTCACACAGAGTACCCTGCAGGAGACAGAACTCCTTGTTGTTAATAGAACTTTTTGTAGTTTTTTAAGTACTTTAAAATTTAGAAAATTTATTTTTAAAAATTATTTTATTTGCCTCTATTTACTATTATTATTATTATTATTATCCAAGTTGACGAGAGAGAGAGAGAGAGAGAGAGAGAGAAAGTGAGAAAGCAAGCTATCAGGTCTGAGACTTGAACTGCAGTCAGCCTTGTGGGAGCCCAGTGGCCACCACCTGCTGGCCCAAAAATTTGGGAAAATTTCAAACTCATGATTCTAGATTGTACATAGCATTAAGATTCATTAACATTGTGTGGTTTACAAAATATTTTGCAATTGACAAACAATTTTTCTGTCAGTGTTATCAAGTGATTTTTCTGTCAGGGTGGCGAGTCTGATGGTGCCAAGGTAGGATCATGCCCTGGGCTGTGTTTAGCGTGACCATGGTGGCACGTTGAACCAATGGCACTGCAGGGAGCAGAATTGTTCAGAGATGTGACCATAGTCTTCTCCCAAGAAGAATGGCAATGATTGGCACCTGTTCAGAGGGAGTTGTACAGAGATGTGATATTGGAGACCTACAGCAACCTGGTCTCACTGGGTCTTGCCATTTCCAAACCTGATGTGACCTCCCTTGAGCAATGCAAAGAGCCCTGGTTGGTGGAGAGGAGAGTGACAGGAAGTTTTGCCCAGTATTGGAGGCCAGATGTTTTATCCAAGTATTACCTCTAAAGCAGCATGTTTGTGAAGTTGAGTCACCCCAGTAGCAGATAATGGAAAGTCTTGCCAGTTACAGTCTTGAGTGCTCGTTTTCAAGATGATTGGGATTGCAGAAGCCAGTTCAACAGACAACTGGGAAATGCAAACAGACACTTCAGTCAAATGATAATCAGTCATGAAGAAACACCCACTTTCAGCTAGCAAGCATCCCTTACCTTTTACCAGAAAATTCACAGTGGAGATAAACCCTGTGGATATAATAAATGTAGAAAAGACTTCTGGCAGGAAGAATTCCTTATTAATTATCAAGGACTTCATACTAATAAAAACTCTTTAAATGTAAGCAATGAGGAAAGGCCTTTAAATATGGCTCATGACTAATTCAGCACCAGAATATTCATTCTGGTAAGAAACCTTATGAATGTAAGGAATGTGGCTAGGCCTTCAATTCTGTTTCAAATTTCGCCCAATACCAGATTTCCTACTGGTGAGAAACCTTATGAATGTTAAGGATTGTGCAAAAACGTTTAGTTGAAGTTCACAGTTGATTGAACATCTGGGAATTCATATGGTGAGAAAATCTCTCAGTACAAAGAATGTGGCAAGGCCTTTAACTGGTTCTCACACCTTAAAGTACATCATAGATTTCACACTGGTGGAAAATCTTACGTATGCAAAGAATGTGGGACGACCTTTGGTCTTCAGTCTCAATTGATTCAACACCAGACAATTCATACTAGCAAGAAACTGTATGAATGAATGCAAGGAATGTGGGAAGACCTCTAATCAAGGCTCAACTCTTAGTTGACATCGGAGACTCATGCCTGTGAGAAACCCTATTTATGTAAGGTATGTGGAAAGGCCTTTAGAGTGAGCTCACAGCTTAAGCAGCATCAGGGGATTCACACTGGAAAGAAACTCTACCAATGTAAAGTTTGTGGCAGGGCCTTCAAACAGCACTCACATCTTAACGGTGCATTACAGAATTCATACACGTGAGAAATCACATGATTGTAAGGAATGTGAGAAGTCATGACTCACAGCTAATTCAATGGTAGTTAATTCATACTGAAGAAAAGCCCTATGAATATAAAGGATGTGAGAGGACCTTAGGTCATGACTCAACTGTTCAATATCAGAGAATACATAATAGAGGGACATATGTGATATAAGAAATGTGGGGAAACCTTCCATCAGCACTTCTTGGGAAGGATTTTTCTTTGTTTCTCCTCAAGTTCAGGTGGTTGTTGGCAAACCTTAGTGTTCCTTGCTTTATAGACCCTGTTTTTGTTCATGTGCTTCCAGATGGTATCACCAGGACAGACATGTAGCACATAAGTGGAAGACCTATCAGATATCCATGGCAGTAGAAAGAAAGAACTGCCCTTGGGCATGGATTCTGGTTATGAAGATCCTGGGTAGCTTCTTCTGTAACCTGAATACCTTGCTATTAAATGTCCTAGGAGTTGGATCCCACAAAGGAGCTTGCCACGGTTGTGGGGTTATATAACTTCCAGTCTTCCTTCTGAGCTCATCACTGACTACTGAGGTCATGGGACCATTCTTTTGCCTTTGTCCATGAGCTCTTTCTTCACTCATATTCACACTCCCCAGTTTTGTCCTTTGACAACATATCTAAGGTTGTGAAATGCTCTAAGGTCAGAGGGGACTGGGTGTAAGCCCTGCCTCTGCTGCTTTCTTGGTGTGTGTAATCTTTAATGAGACACCCAACTCTTCTGAGCCTCAGTTTCCAGTTCTGTAGAATGAGAGTATCAGTAACAGTTACCTCCCTTGCAAGGCTGTTGTGTGAATTAAATGTTTTGAAAGTCATTAGCACAATGCCATTATTATTATTCAACAACCTATTCTCTAACCCAAGATCCTTAGCTTCCCTTTGAAACCTATTCTCAAGGAGTAGTCGGGTAAGTGAGAGGCAATGACCAGAACTAGTCTGAGCAATGGGCTGAGAGTAGATTGAGGATGATGGCAGGTAATGGATAGACCACAGCATGGATTTCCAATTGTGTGCTGTACCACCAAGGTGGTCTGGGAGGAGCAGAAGGGGATAGCAGGCTCGTGTGCATCCTTGGCATACCAAGGCCATCCTATGGTCTTCACTCTCACTCTCTCATGTATCTTCTCGTCTTTGTGTGCCTTTCCCAGTTTAGGCATCAACAGACTGAGATTGACCAGAGGCTGT